TGAGAGTGGAGCATAATGAGAAACCTGACCAACAACACCATGAGGATGAGGAGGAATCGTTTGATGTTGGGGCCTTCAATACTGATGATTTAGAAGACGAAAAGACTAACACTTCATTGATTTCGGTTGTTAGGCGTATCCTTGTAGCCCCTAAAATTGAGAAGGAAGATTGGAGGCACATTTCTATTTTCCAGATGCTAGTTCGTTGTAGAGATCAAGCCTGCAAGCTTATTATTTATGGTGACAGTTGCATGAATGTTGTATCATCATCCAGGGTTGAGCGCCTTAAGCTTCTCATTTAACCAAATCCTCAGCCATATAAGGTAGCTTGGATTGACAGCACTTCTATTCTGGTAACTCAACGATGCCTTGTCTCTATTTCTTACAGTTCCTATATTAATTTTATTTGGTGTGATGTGATTCCTATGAAAGTTACTCACATCCTCCTTGGAAGGCCTTGGCTTTATGATAGAGATATACATCACTTTGGGAAACAAAATACATATTTTTTCTCATTTAACAACAAAGAGATTGTTTTGAAGTCGTTGACTACAACTGAAATGGAGAAATTCAAAGAAAAGAAGTCAAAGGATGATGTTGATGTTAAGCTAAAGTCCCTTTATGTTCTCACCAAGAAGCTCTTTCAACGAGAGAGCATGGAATCTGGGGTCATATATGTTGTGGTGATGAAAGAAGTATCAAAAACACAAGATGTTTTATCCACTGCAATACCACCAGAGGTGACTGAGCTGCTATCTCACTTCTCTAATGTTGCACCCGAAGAGTTATCAAGTGAACTTCCTCCAATGTGCAATGTCCAGCATGCAATAGACCTTGTTCCAGGGTCAGAATTGCCTAATCTTCTAGCCTATCGCATGAATACAAGTGAACACACAGAGCTTAAAATGGCTAGTAGAGGAACTGCTTTCAAAGGGATTTATTCGTAAAAATTTAAGCCCTTGTGTTGTCCCCGCATTACTCACGTCAAAGAAAAATGGCAATTGGCACATATGTGTTGACAGTCGTGCTATAATCAATATCACAATCAAATACCAATTCCCCATTCCAAGGCTTGATGATATGTTGGATATGTTGGCTGGTTCTTGCATATTTTCGAATATAGATCTAAAAAGTGGATACCATTAAATACGCATAAGACCAGGAGATGAATGGAAGACAGCTTTCAAGACAAGGGATGGCTTCTATGAATGGCTAGTCATGTCATTTGGTCTTACAAATGCCCCTAGTACCTTCATGCGCTTTATAACACTGGTATTACAGCCATTTATTGGTCAATTTCTGGTTGTTTACTTTGATGATATTCTAATATATAGCAAGACCAAGGATGAACACATCTTTCAACTTCAACAAGTTTTGAGGGTTCTCCGCCACGACAAGCTCTACATGAACTTAAATAAGTATTCTTTCATGAGCCCAAGTGTTTCTATTTTTGGGCTTTGTTGTTTCAGCTAAAAGAGTGAAGGCTGATCCAAGTAAGGTGAAAGTCATTCTAGATTAGTCAATTCCTAGTGCTTTGCATGAAGTACGAAGTTTTCATGGGTGGACGACTTTTTATCGTCGCTTTATCAAGAATTTCAGCACAGCTATAGCACCTATAACCAACTATATGAAGGTGGGACAGTTTGTTTAGACCAAAGCAACAACAAAGGCCTTTGAAGAAATAAAGAAAATGATGATTGAAGCTCCTGTTCTACACCTTCCTGATTTCTCAAAAGTGTTTAAGGTGGCTTGCAATGTATCCCATGTTGGGATTGGAGGTGTGCTTACTCAAGAAGGGCACCTGGTTGCTTACTTCAGTAAAAAGCTCAACGAAGCCAAGCAAAAGTACTCTACCTATGACAAGGAGTTCTATGCAATAATATATAAGCACTTCGGTATTGGCACCACTCTTCTTTTTAAGGAGTTTGTGTTGTATTCTGACCATGAAGCACTCGATTACATTAACTCCCAAAAGAAATTGAATCATAGGCATGGTAAATGGGTTTCATTTCTGCAAGAATACTCTTTTGTTATCAAACATAAGGTTGGTTATGAGAATAAGGCAGCTGATGTACTTAGCCAAGTGGTGTATGTTCTTTCTTCTTGCAAGGATTTGCTCAAGTTGTGGGTTTTAATTTGCTCAAAGGGGACTATCCTTCTTACAAAGATTTCAAAGTTATACATGCTAAGTTATTGGCTAGACAGCAGGGAGGATATGATGATTACGGCTACCTCTTCAAGGAAACCAAGCTTTGCTTACCCAACACTTCTCTTCGTGAATAAGTGATTTGGAAATTACATTCTGGAGGTGCAACAAGTCATTTTGGAAGAAATAAGACAGTTGCAATGGCTGAAGATCGCTTTTATTGGCCAAAGCTGAAGCGGGATGTAGCCAAGGTAGTTTCACAGTGTCGAACTTGTCAACTTTCAAAAGAAAGAAAGAAGAATACTGGTTTATACACGCCACTACCTGTGCCACACGAGCCATGGCAAGATTTAAGTATGAATTTTGTCCTTGGATTGCCTAGAGCCCTTCGCAGACACAACTCCATTTATGTGGTTGGATCGCTTCTCAAAAATGGCTCACTTTATTCCTTGTTCTAAGACATCCAACGTTGTTCACATTGCTAAGCTTTTCTTTAAAGAAGTTATTCGTCTTCACGAATTACCTCAAACTATTGTATCTGATCGGGATGTGAAGTTCGTGAATTATTTTTGGCGCACACTATGGAAGTTGTTGCATACAAGGTTGAAGTTTTCTTCCGCTTTCCACCCACAAACTAATGGTCAAACGGAGGTTGTCAACCGCAGTTTGGAAGACCTACTTCGCTGCCTTGTCAAGGATCATGTTAGTAGTTAGGATCAAGTACTTCCTATGGCTGAATTTGCATATAATAGCACTGTAAATAGATCTACAGGCTCTGATCAAAAAAAAAATAGATCTCCGGGTCGTAGTCCATTTGAGATTGTTACAGGTTTGCTTCCTAGAAAGCCAATTGATTTGGTTCCGTTACCTATCGAGGCTCGCCCAAGTACTGAAGTTGAAACCTTTAGCAATCATATTTCTAATATACATGCTGAAGTTCGACGAAAGATTGCCATAAGCAATGCGAGCTACAAACGACATGCTGATTTGAGGAGAAAGTTTGTTGAATTCGATGAAGGAGACATGGTTATGGTCCGAGGGAGGCCTGAACGGTATCCTAAAGGTGCTTATAAGAAGCTTCATTCAAAGAGTGCTGGTCCATTTAAGGTTCTCAAGAAAATTAGCTCCAATGCTTATGTTCTTGACTTACCTGAAGATATGGGCATCAATAATATCTTCAATATTGAGGATCTTACTAAATACCTTGTACACACTGACAATGATATACACCCTGATCCAGTTACTTCTCTACCACAAGCCACATATTTAAGGGATAAAATTGAAGACATGGTTGATCATTAGATTGTTTCAATTAGAAGTGGTGGTTATCAGAAATATCTCATTAAGTGGAAGGGACGTCCACTTTCAGATTGCACCTGGATTACCGACGAACAGTTCCAACATCTCAACCCTGATCTTTATGAAAAATTTCATGCTTTTAACTTGTCAGAGTTGGGTTCTCTCAAGCCGAGGAGAATTGATGGAAAATAGCAACGTCTAATAAAGGTGTATAAAAAACGTGAGTTGGATGGTTCTAAGGTCCAAGCCTTAATTTGGCATACGTTGGATAATGTTGGGCCCACTTGGGATATTAACTAGACATGGGATGATTTTTAAAAATCTGCATAACTTTTCATTTGCCTTATGACCTTTCATTTAGTTACATTAACCACAAGTTTTATATGCATGTATCCACATATTCATGCACCATGACACATTCATTGTATCTAGCTTTTTTGTGAGTTGAAAATTTTCAGCATTAATTAATTTATGAAGTCCTATATATTGATGTAACTTCAAGATTTTGAAGTATGATAAATGAATATATGAAATTTTCAGAAGCTTTTAAGATTGTGTGATTCAATCCTTTCTTTGGTGTGATGCTAAAGAGCCTTAGGTAAGATTCCTTGGGTTTTCTGGGTGTGAGGCCTATAACTATCTTCTCTTCCTTCTAATTCTCCTTCTTGCTTTCTATCTACTATTCACAGCCCCCTAAACAACCCCTATTTTCAATATTTCCACCTTCCTTAGCCACCTTCCAATTCTTTCTACATTAACAATAAAGTCTTTAACTGGCCACTTTGCACAACCTAGAAAGAAAAAGAAGTTTGTGCTTGTGGCAAAAGTGTCCTAGAATTTTTTTTTCCTTCTAAAATAAGATTTTTTGCTTTTTTATTAAGAGATATTTGACTTTCCCATATAGTAACATTCTTCCTTCAGTGAATTTCAAGTGTCTCCTATTGCCTATTTTAAAAAGAAATGCAGGCCGTGCAAATTGCGTCTTCTATCTTGCATATATATATATATATATATATATATATATATATATATATATATATATATATATATCTCTTTATCAACCATGTCAACTTCCGCCAGTACCTCCGAATGAGGAAGAAAAAGATACCATGATGTAAGTCTGTTATTCTTTGCACCATAGGTGTTCTTGCGTCACAAGGAGTAATTGGTAGGAATAGCTATTCTAGAGCAATCATTTGATTTGGTCGATTCTTTGACTACTCTGCTCTCCCCAAAAAAAGAGAGATTTGTTCTTGAAATCGGTTGTTGGGTTGGTCCAAAAAGTCATGGAAGAGGCGGGGTAAGTGAAATAAAACACTGGTGCTATTATAAAATCTTATGAATCACGCACGGCACGTTTTTTATATCTTCTCCGTCTACAAGGTGAACACCTTAGCTTACAGCACAACATGTTTGGCACCACCTAATCTGCTTATGTGTAAAATAGTGACCCAAAGAGAAAATACCCAATAAAATCAAACATTCTTAAGTAGTTGCCAGCATAAGAAAACAGCAGGCAGTATATAAATTATAATCAACTATTAAAAAGCAAAAACTACATACCTCCAGTATAAGAATGTAAAGTCTTCACTTTACTCATCATATCATTGAAAACTTTTTCAGAAGGTTCCACTACCATGACTCCCGAATTCAATTTTTCTGAATGTTTTAAGTTAGCACAAAACTTTCCACATTTGAATAGATCTTCAACGCTCTTAACTACAATTGTATCAGCATCAAGATATACCACTGCAAGAATTTTGATGAAACAGAAATTTTAGTTCAAATCGCCATACCATGCACCACAACATTTTATACCTCCATAAGTAACTTGGGACTCAATAGAAGTGACAAGTGCAGTTGACTGACAATGTAAAAACTAGTTTACTAAGAAACGGGTCCCAAACAAAGAATAAGGCAATGACCTTTCTTGTACTGAGTCATGTTAAATATTTTCAGCTTTGTATAGACACCCCATAGCCTTTTAGGTCTGACTTGATTAGGGTTTGCCAACAGACTAATATGCTCCACTAGCCAACCATCAGCCTGCACAAACAATAACCAGGACCATAAGATACCAATTGGTTAAAAAGTAGCACTAAAAAGTAAAACTCGACTCATTTTAAGTAGTAATAACTTTTTCTAAGTAACAGATAGCTAGCTGTTTAGTTCTTGCTTTTGAAAGCAAAGCAAATTGCCAAAATATTTATCAGCTGTTTACATACACAGTACATGAAAGACCATAACTTGAATAAAGAAAACCTCAGGCTTTCACAGGAAAATAAAACTTTCACTTAACTCATTCAGGTAAATTTCACACTTTTTTTCTCTAAGGAGAAGATGCAATAAATAATTTTGGCTGCTAAACGAATAAACAGAGGATCAGCAAATAACTTTCGGCCAAAGAAATTCCAAATATAAACACGAAAAAATCCAAAGTAATTACTGGGATTAAAATTCGCTTAATGATCTGACATCCAAAGTCATAAAATTTCTCCCTCCCTCCCCTCCCTTCCTCTCACACACAAACTTTAACTCGTGCACAAATACAGAAGGTCATATTCCTAAATCCATGTCATTAGTAAGGATATATAAATTTAAATTACAATCTCAAAATAACAATTTTCTTGCCTTTTTTTCTCCCAGTTGATACTTTATAACTAAACAAAAACTTCTTAATCTTAGAAATCTAGAACACAACGTTTGAAATTCTATTTCCAATAATTTTCTTCTGTTCCCCATTTCTTCCGCGCTACTGCAGTGCTAAGGGTAGCGAGCTAAAAAGAATCAGGTCGTGGATTGGAATACGAGACCAACTAACCCTTTTAGCTTTTCTCAGAAGCCAAACAGAGAGAGAGAGAGAGCATGAATACCTTGAGCAGCTTCTTGGCGTAGTGTGAGACACCGTCAGAAACCAAAACCACCATGTCCTTGGTGGAATGGGTGTCGCGAATCGACTTTCCGAGAACGCGAACGCCGAGTAAGAACTCATCGCCGTACAAAAGGGTCACGTATGCTTGGTCAGAGGACTGAGATCCCAAAGCTCCATCACAAGTTGTGCTCTGAAACAATACAAATAGAATACAAAAAACAAACCATTTTTTCAAAAAACCCAATTTCATCGTATTCCCAGACAATTCACCAGATCAGGGCGGTGTAGGATCGAAATTTAGAGACAGACAGAAAGAGAATTGGAATTTCGTCAGGAAAACAAAATTTCAGAGAGAAAATTGAAAAAGAAAGAGATGAGATTTAGAGTTATATATTTTTGGGATGATTAAAAGGGTTTAGAAGAGAGGAATATTTGGGAGAGAGAGGAAAGTATTGACGGGGTTTGAAAAAGCTTTTGAATATTCTTCGCCTTCCACTACAATGCTATCTTGGTCTTTGTTGTCGTCTGTGTTGGCTTATGAACTTGTCGAATGTCGGACGCGTCAGCCGTAGTTCAAATGTTAACTTGGATCACGATCTGGATCCGTGACGCATCAACGTTAATCATATCAATGCCAAATTCAGGGTGATTTGTGCCCCTGTTCAGTACGAAGGAAAAATGATAAAATACAAAGTTAGAGAGGTAGAAAGTTTAAGAAATAAGTAAAATATGTTGGTAAAAAAAAGAAAATAGGAAAGATGAAAAAGTTGATAGATAAACTTTCTTTTTAATTCACCAAAAGTGAATAGAAAGTTAATTATTTATGTTACAATGTATCTTATTTGTCTATATATTACTAGGTGTATACAAAAAATTCATATATAAATACAATGATAAAATATGTATTTACCGATTATCTTTCCAATAAAACGAGAGTTAATTGTCAAAATGTCACCTTATAACAATTAACTTCTGTTTTACTAAAAAGTTAACCGGTAGGTTTGATGTATAAACTAAAACATTTCACAACAACCAATTAGATTAGCCAGAAGATCTATGTATGATACAACAACAAAATAACACTAGTAAATCCGAAAGTAAACCATTTAAAATGTTTACTTTAGTAATTCGATCAGCAAGCCAATGATTCAATGAAGATGGAATTCCGGTTTATACAACTTGGAATATGTGAAAGGGATACTCAAACTCAAAGTAGAGTCCCGTATATATAGCCAAAAATAATACAGAGTGACTTAAACATCCTTGTAGTTTAGGCAAAATATAAAAATCATAGTAAGGGTAAAAAAGGGAAAAGGAATCCTAATAAACCTAGACTACTATCTATACTCCAACACTCCCCCTCAAGCTAGGCGCAAAAATGTCAACTAAGCCAAGCTTGACAACGGAGTCCCGAAGAATAGACAGAGTGACAGGTTTGGTAAAAACATCCGCAACTTGATCACTGGTCCCCACAAACGATGGAGTAACAAGACCACTGCTGACCTTCTCCCGAAGAAAGTGAACATCGATCTCTATATGCTTCGTTCTCTCATGTAGTACAGAGTCAGAAGCGAGCTGAATAGCAGATTGATTATCACAATATAATGTGGATGGAGAGGTCACTGAAAAACCCAACTCGTCAAGAATCGATCGTAGCCAGATAATCTCACATGTGCCAAGTGCCAATGCCCGATACTCTGCCTCTGCGGACGAGCGGGAGACAACTGTCTGCTTCTTGCTCTTCCAAGAGATAAGATGAGTCCCTCGAAAAGCACAGAAACCCGTAGTAGATCGACCATCACATGCTCCCCCATAATCTGAATCTGAATAACAGGCTAGAGAACCGGTCTGAGATCCTGATGCATAAAACAACCCAAGTCCAGGACAAGACTTGAGGTACCGAAGAATATGATAAACTGCATCAAGATGAGGCTGACATGGCCTATGCATGAACTGACTAACTCGGCTGACTGCGAATGAAATGTCCGGCCTAGTATTGGCTAAGTAGATAAGTCTACCTACCAATCTTTGATAAACTGTCGGATCTTTCAACTCCTCACCTTCAGTAGTAAGCTTCAGGTTTGGAATCATAGGTGATGATGCCGGTTTGCACCCCAACATCCCAGTGTCTGAAAGAAGATCCAAAACATACTTTCTCTGAGAAAGAACAATACCTCTGCTTCTACGGGCAACCTCAATCCCAAGAAAGTATCGCAGAAATCCAAGATCCTTCACATCGAAGGCCTTCCCAAGGTCTACCTTGACCTGCGCAGTCCCAGAAACATCATCACCAGTAATAATAATATCATCAACATATACCAGAAGGATGACACACTGTCCAGAAGTATTCCGTCGAATAAAGCAGGTATGATCAGAATGACACCTGGTGAACCCCAATCGTATGACTACATCACTGAAGCGAGAGAACCAGGCTCGTGGCGACTGTTTCAGTCCATAAAGAGACTTACGCAGTCGACATACCTTTCCAGCATACTCCCCCTCACCACGAAAGCCCGGTGGTGCATCCATATAAATAATCTCGTCCAGATCACCGTGAAGAAACGCATTCTTCACATCTAATTGATGAAGAGGCCAAGAGTACTCCGCAGCCAGAGAAATAATTAACCGAACAGTAGTCAATTTTGCTACGGGGGCAAATGTAGCACCAAAGTCACGACCTGGTACCTGAGTAAAGCCCTTCGCCACAAGTCTAGCCTTGTAACGATCAATAGTACCATCTGCCAGAAACTTCAGGGTGTAAACCCAGCGACAGCCAACAGGCTTCACCCCTGAAGGTAAGGAGACAAGATCCCATGTATGATTACGCTGAAGAGCGTCCATCTCTGTCTGCATGGCAAGAACCCACTGGGGCTCCCGCATAGCTTCCGAAATAGAGCGAGGAACCAGCGTATCTGATAAGGCCATAGTATAAGCTCGAAATGTGGGAGACAGATTACCATAAGAAACATAAGCAGAGATCGGATATAAAATCTTGGCGGTCCAACCATGTCGATCAACTGGACGGCGATCACGCCTTGGATAACGACGCCCTAAATCACCATCCTCTACTGATAATATCTTATCAGGTAAAGTAACTGGCTCAGCACCTGTAATCTCATCAGTACTAACAACAGGTGCATCAATATGCTCAACAAACTGAGAAGTATTACCTGCATCGCCTGAGGTAGAGGGGATATCAGCAGGGTGATGAGAGCGAGGACAACGAGCATACACCTGCAAAGGAAGAGAGACTGGTAACTCTGTACTGACAGGGATGAGTGACTCCTTGGGAGGAAAAACGGATGACCCTGTAGGGATAGTGATCAATGACTCTGACTCTTGTGGTAATGGGAAGTCAAAGGGAGTATCATCAACTGGAGGGGCAGACAAAGGACTGAAAGGAAAAAAAGGAATATGCTCAAGAAAGGTAACATCTAGACTGTGATACATACGACGCCTAATAGGATCATAACAGCGATACCCCTTAGATTGATGACAATAGCCCACAAAGATACAACGAATCGCTTTATCATCAAGTTTATGACGAGTAGGAGACCGATCCTGAACAAAACATGTGCATCCAAAAACACGAGGGGGGACCGGAAAAAGTGTCCGCTCAGGAAATAAGACCTGTAAGGGAGCCTTATGCTGAAGAACACGACTCGGCGTACGATTGCACAGAAAGGTAGAAGTCAAAACAGCAAAATGCCAATAAGATTTTGGTACCCTCATGCCTCTAAGCAGACAACGTACCATCCCTATCAAACTCCTATTTTTCCTCTCAGCAACACCATTTTGCTCAGGAGTATATGGACAAGTGAGTTGCTGAAGGATACCCTGAGAAGAAAGGTGAGACACTAAAGCATCAGACACATATTCTTTGGCATTATCCGAACGAAGAGCACGAACAATGACATCGAATTGTGTCTTAATCATCTGTAAAAACTGAGTGATTATAGGGAGCACATCAGACTTCCTATGCAAAAGGTAGACCCAAGTACAACGGGTATGATCATCTATAAATGTCACATAATATCTGGCACCTGACAGAGCAGTAACGGGAGAGGGTCCCCAAATATCAGAGTGTATTAGGTCAAATGGCTTGGGTGACTGGTGCATGCGAGGAATATAATTGGCCCGAACATGTTTTGATAGGGAACAGATAACGCAATCAAGTTTACCACCAACACAAGCATTACTCAAAGCAGGAAACAACATACATAAATATTTAAAATTTGTATGTCCAAAACGGTCATGCCACAATTGAACAGTTTGTGGCGAAAAATCATAACGACAACTACTAGGTAAAATACTAGCATGCAAGCTAGGAACAGAAAAAGACAAAGCAGGTGCAGGTGAAGGAATTGGTGAAACTGGAGATGGATTGCCAAGATAATACAGTCCATCTTTCTCATGTCCCTTGATAATAATCCTCCTGGTACTCAGGTCCTGCAAATAACACGAATCAGATAAGAATACAACCGCACAGTGAAAATCTCTGGCTAACTGATGTACAGATAATAGATTCATGGCCAACTTTGGCGCATGAAAAACTGAATGTAATGTAAGGCCATCTGGGAGATGGACTGTACCCCTACTAACAATAGGGGCATGTGTTCCATCTGCTAACTGAACCTGTGTATGTAACGGCTCGTCAAAAGTGGTGAAGTGATGGGCCTCACCTGTCATGTGACCATTCGCACCCGAGTCCAACATCCAAAGGGGAGATGAACTGGCACAAGCGTGAAAGGCACGAGATATACCTGTAGTGGTGACAGCAGCAGTAGTCAGACTCTGAGAAGTCAGAGCAGACATAAGTATATCTAATCGGGAAGTGATAACATCCATATCACTTTGCCAAGGAGGAGCAGTAGCAGGAGTGGCGGTAGTGGGCGGTGGTACCTCAGCAATAGCAACAGTACGGCTGCGAGAAGGTGACTTAAGCTCTGGATGGAGCTTCCAGCAAGTAGCCCTGAGATGTCCTGGTCGGCCACAATAATCACATTGACGGGAATCCCCCCGTCTGCGCTGATCTGGGGCGCCCTGACGGCGCTGGTCTGAGCGTTGCCTATCCCTGACTAAGGATCCTGAACGGGACCCTACAGCAGTTGCAAGGGCCATCTGGTCAATCGAAGGAGGCAAAGCTGCAACTGGAAGTGATGCAATACGGACTCGACGCTCATGCTGCTCAATCATCCCATACACCTCATAAAGAGAAGGAAGTGTCAACATCGATAAGATCTGAGAACGAGGTCCCTCAAACTCATCACGAAGCCCCATAAGGAACTTGTGAATCCTATCCTCCTGCTCTCGAGTATGCAAGAATGCTGCTCCCTCGGGCTCTATCTTCGGAATAGCAGCAAGAGGACGTAGAGACTCATACTCAAGCCAGCGCTGGGTCAAATAGCCATAATAATCCTGAACGGTCATATCTCCCTGCCGAGCATATGAGAGCTCCTGAGAAAGCTCATAAACACGAACTCCCCGTCCTGACTGAGAATACATCTCTGATAATGCGCTCCATAGCTTCGGAACAGAGCTATGAAACTGATGGATCCTGCAAACAGAGGGCTCCATTGAGCCAAATAACCATCCAAGAATGGCACAATTTTCAGAGAACCATGCAG